TGACTGTTCGGTCAGGACGTGAGTCGTCTAGGATCAGGTCCGTATGCTCACCAGCCGGCTGAGGGCGGAATTCATCCGACCGCTCCTCTGCCAATGATTGCTATTTTTTGTCTTTTCTTGCGGCCCCTGTCTGGGATGCCTTTCTCTTCTTGCCGCCTGCTTTTTGAACAGGCGCACTCTCCTTGACATTGTCAAGGTCTATTTTTCCACCACTCGACCCAGTGGCCATAACAGTGGGCTTGACATCCGAGAGATAGCACTCTCGGGCCATCCTCTGATCTCCCCTTAGGGACCCGACTGTTCCATTATCCCTCTCAAACTTGAGCAACATAAGAGATGGGATTATAACAGCCTTGGAATTATTCAGGGTTGGTCGTCCCAAAATCATGTTGTAGGCCGAGAGTTCTTTTACTACCAGGAACCGGACTACCATGTGTCGTCCTTCCCCTTTTTCGCTCAGGCGGATGGGTAAATCCACTCGTCCCACTGGGTGGACGACTCCTCCTCCAAACCCTACTAAAGGGTGGGATGCCGGATGTATGCAATCAGTCTGATATTTTAGTTTCGACAGACATTTGCTACTGATGAGATCTGAGGAGCTTCCGGTATCTATGAGGATTCGGCCAACTCTCTGGTTGGCCACTTTACATTCAATAACGATAGGGTCGTCATGCGGCCCTCTTACCCCTCCTAGATCTTCTTCAGTGATGACGATCTCAGGAAAAGAATATTTGGAGGGCCGTTCTTGGTGAACGGAATTTACATCTAACCGTCTGATGTTGTCTTTGTTGCCCCTAATAGTGGGGCCGCCTCCTGAGAAGCCGCCTGCAATGGTGTAGACGACTGCATCATCTGTATCGGAGCTGTCGGCCTGTTGATTCTTTTTGGCCGACTGCTTTTTTGAGGAAGTGTTCCCCGTAGATTTCTTGACATAAATGTCAAGATCACCTTGCTCAGCCAGGAGGTCCAGATACCGCATGAGACTGATGCAATCATTGGTGTGATGACCAACATCTTCATGATAAGCACAGAATTTTTCTTGGTTCCGGTTGTTTGCAGAACCCTTCATGGGGACCGGCTTCTCAATTGAGATCCGTCCCTTGATTTCCTTTAGGATAAATTGGCTATCCTTGTTAAACGCATACTTTGGGGAGTATGGTTTGAATTCTTTTTTCTTTTTCAGGGCCGGCTGTTTAGAGGAATCAGCCGCCCAGACCTCTTTTCTCTTCTCGTCTTTGTTTGACGACTGTTTCTGTCGTCCTTCTCTTTTGTCGAACCTTTTCCCGTCCGACTGTTTTATCGTACTACAAAGATCAGTCGCCTGTATATAGGCTTCCGCTTCAATCAAGGCCTCTTGAAGAGTCGCCACCCTCTTTCGGACCAAATCAAATTTGAAGGTCGACCCGTCCTTGAGACCTCTGAAAAAGTCAGTATAGGCTACTTCATCCGGTAACCCTTGAATCTGTATTCTCATCAGATTAAACCGTCTGATGTAAGAACGAAGCCCCTCCTTCTCGCCCTGCTGAATTGTTCCTAAATCAAGGGTCGTCTTCTTCGCAGGGATGTTCATGGCGAAGTTGGAGGTGAATAAGTAAGCAAGCGTCCTGAAGTTATTTACACAACCAGTCGGCAGGTTGCCGAACCATTGTTGTGCGATTCCTTTGAGAGTCGCTGGGAAACACTTGCACCAAGTGGGATCATCCAACCCTTGAAGGTACATCAGGTTGGTGAATGCCATCAGATGGTCTTCTGGGTTAGTAGTGCCGTCATAGGCGCCTACTAATACATTTTTCACTTTGGCCGGCTGAGCGGCTTCAGTAATTTCCTTGGAGAAGGCCGACGGCTGTTCACCAAGTCTAAGCAACCGAAGCTGCCAGTCCATAGGTTGGACATTTTTTGCTGTATGTCCACCAAACGGAGGTGGCTGTAAAAAATACTATTGTTGCGGCACAAACGGTAAGTTTGGTACCGCCTGGTCGCTATGAAAGCCGGACTGATGGGAGGTGCCGCCTGACTGACGCTCATGATACGACTGAGTATGCCTCATTGAGGTATTTCGCAGACTGTCTTGGAAGTTTGAAGTAGAGGCCGACTCTGACAATCGGTCACTCTTCTTCTGCTCTAGCAGTAGCCGAGCGTCTGTGTATGATTTTCTCGACCCGTCCGCCTGAATATGACGAACAAGTTTCCTATTTCCTGGAGTAGGAAAACGGTATTTTGTGAAATCAAGGGCAGTCGGCTCCCGCTTCCTAGATTTAGGATGAGGAGTCGCCTCTCGCCCTTGAACTGGTTTCCTCTTCAGTGAAGTGGAGGGTTTCTTAGCCGACTGCTCCTTGTCCGGAGCAGGCGGCTTCTTGTTGATCAACTCTTGAATTTCTCCCTTGAAGTCCCTCATGAAGGTCATGAGTTCGTTCCTTGTGATGGGAGCAGATCCATCAGTCGGCTCGCTTCCTGTATGAAGATGTTCCCGTTCCCTCCTTTCGGTATGACGGGTACGTCGGGCCCTTAGGGTCCCGTCTGAAGCTATGTGAGCTTCAACTTCAAATTCATTCTCAGTATCGTGGTCCGACTGAACTTGAGGGTCGTCTAGGGGACGCCTCTCTTCAGGAGTCGGTACAGACTTGGATGCCATCTCAGAAGTACTCTCCCCACAGACGGCGCCAAATGTTTCGGGGTTTTCTGATGTCCTGCGGGAGAGTTACAATTCCGAGACTGGAACCGGACGCCTGTACCTGCAAAACAACGGAGACTCCTGGTGGTGGGAGCTCCGCCTCCGACGGTCAAGTTAGTACTTGATTAAGGAGTAATTAATGCGGAAATTAAAGTGATTGGGTCTCTCTAGGTGAGAGTGTTTAATGTATGTAATCTACTTTTTTAGCGTGATCAGCATGTAATTCATGTCCTCTCTCTTAATGAGGATTAAGGGAGGTATTTATAACCTTGGGAAAAGTGCCAATCCTAGGTTTAGGTTAACCTAGGGCTGATTGGGGTTCCCTCGGAAGTTGGGCCTGGGTGGCCGGATTCTCCATTAGGCATGGAATATGCCACGTGTCATGACATAATAGGTCCAAGGTGGACGAATAAGCGTGTGCCACGTGGAAAGCCCTGACAGTTCCAACTGGGGGACACTTGGCAGGACCTGATTGGCCCACGTGGCGCATTCCGATTGGTGGGAGCAAAATCCCCTAATCAATATCAACTTAAATAAGTTGAATTGAACAAAGCCTAAATCATATATCTTCACAAGAATAAAAAAGAAATCACCTTCATTAGGAAAAAGACCCCTAAATTATGAATTCAATAATTTATATGATCTATTTTGATTAATTGTATATGAGATATTTGATTGAATTTCTAATGTTATTAGTACTTAGGCTATGTTGACACATAATTTAATTTGATAACCAAATTTTGACCTAATTTGTACACTATTCCATAGATTAAAAAAATATTAAATGAGATGTTGGTATTAATTTGCACTTTCCAAATGAGATGATGTTGGTATAAGATAAATAAGATTTGATCTGATCACGTCTAATTTGATTTGAATTGAATATTTCTTAAATTAGTTGATATCAACTTAAATAAGTTGAATTGAACCTATCCTTAATTAAGGATTAATCAACCTTATTTACTAGCTTTTTATGCACAGGATTATGCATGCAAGAGTTTTTTTTTTTCCTATAATAATGCATGAAGTATATTGTAATTTGATGGAGGTATAAAAAGTCGATAACTGAAAAACAATATACTAGTACATGACTTTGATAAGATCATAAGAGGTGTTTTGAAGAATGCTTTTGAAACTTTTCCTAATGAGCGTTTGACATGTGGGAATAGGAATTTAGAGAATTAATGTAGGATATGGATGGAAAATTAGGAATTGGTTGTTAGGAATTAATGAAATTAAAGATATGAGTAGTAAAAAAAAAACCATAATGGCTTGTTGCTAAAAATGTGTTAATTTTAAATAAGAAATTTACATTATCATTATTGCCCTTAATAATACATGTATTTCCTTCATTTCTCCTCTTTCTTTCTTTTTTTATCCATAAAAGGAAAGTACATTCCAAACAAAGAAAAAGAACAAGAACAAAAACACACTAAAAAAAAAACAAAAAGATACTACGGAGGGACTAGGCTTTGTAAGGCCACACCCCTAGCATTCACCTCTAAAATCATCCTCCTCTTTCTCATTACTAACAAGTTATTGGTCAATTCCCACATTTCAATTACCACGATCCTCCTCTTTCATTCTCTTTATTGACAATAACTTTTCGATTTGGCCAATTCTCTTCCCCAATTACCCCAAGGCAGTATTTGAAATGTGGGAATTAAGTGAAGTTCAAGTTAATTTCATATTATGTTACAACAAACAAAGGAACATGTCATGCCCATATATAAATTCCTATTCCCATCCTATAATCATCCCACATACCAAACATCCTGTAAATACTTTAAATTCTATGTTTCCTTTAGATTGTCAGCTCACTCATGGGTGAATCTTGAGGATGGTTAGCCTAACCAATAATCTTATAAAAGTTTTTTTTCAAGGAGGTAAGATTGACCTCATTAGAGTTCACTCGGCACATCAGCTTGCAACTACAGCTTCTTCAAGTCTTAATTCCTTTTCTACTTTATAATTTATTTTTATTATTTAAGCACATGTTAGAAAAACAAATAATAATTATTATTTGAATAAGACACTACATGATTAAATTAGATGTCCTTGCTATAATATTTGCATGTATAAAGAAACGGTTAAGTTTCGCCATTATTTTACTAAAGACCCTGGCGATTCCACAGCCTAGCCTGTTATAATGCAAAGAATTCATTTAAGTTACAATAAGGATATCTAGATATGTCTTGAATAAGTTCATTAGAAACAATTGTTCTCCTAATTGGCGAAGCATTCTTTAAAATCTATTTTTATTTTTTTTTTCTAAAAAAAAAAAAAAAAAAACCTAAAAAAATTCTCTTAGTTTTTTATCATTTAAAAATAAGATCAACATCTCTATTTTATTATTATTTTTTTTAAAGCAAATCTATATCTCTATTATATACATCATGAATTATGTGACACAATAATAAAGAAACGTCATAAAAAGGCTTGTATCCTTGTCCGCTAGCTGGTTTAGGTACTTAACTCTTTAACCAAAAATAAAATTTCAAAACATTTGCATAGCTCAGCTCGCACTCCCATTATGCAATGAAATGAATTAGTTCTTCATATATCTGCATGAAATAAAAATAGCACATAGTTAATTTAATTTTCAAATGATATGATAAAATGTGTGCATATCTCTATTATTAGCTTTCTAGTTTCTATCGTACATATTTATTGTTTTGGTAGTGTATTGTCAAAGGATAATTAATGTACATGGAAGTTTATTTGATCATAAAATTTTGCTTTTTGAAGGATATCATCATATAAGACTTTACCAAACTAATAACCATCCACAATAACCATACTTTACTCTAGATTTTATATTAGGTATAAATTTGATGTTATTCTAGTTAATAATTTGTGTAAGATCGATAGATATATATATATATATATATATATATATATATATATATATATATATATATATATATATAATAGGAAAATGATGTAGGCGAGTTTTTTTTGTTAATTTACCAAAGATATTAATAAGTGAACCAAATCGTACTCACCATCATCTTTCTTCTTTAGGCATCGAAATAACATAAACACAATGAATAAAAGGCCCACTCCTCCAATTGCAATTGCCGCTATCTTCCCAAAACCATTCCGATTATTTTGCTCTGCCACAAAAAACAAAAAAGATGCAATATGATGAGCGATACTACTTCTGTTCTATAATATTCGACTTACTTAGCTTTAGCACAGTCGAATTGATTTATTAAAATACGGAAAAAAAGTCTAGCAAAGTTGCATAAATTTTACCTCCATCCCCATGAAATTCATGTGGATTAAACTCATAGCTCAAGTAACACAATCCCAAGAAAACTTGTCCATAAATTGAACTCACACACTCTTTCTCAATAACATCAATACCTTCAACAATACACTTTGCACAATCACATGCTTCCAAACCCACCTCACATTGAGCCATGGCATGGAATCCCTCATGGTTATTCATGGAGTAAAACCCATTTTTACCCTCATCTTCGGCCGCCTCGGTTTCTAACGCCTCAAATGCCTGGCTCCTCATTTGCTCAAAATACCCACTTGACACCACAACTTGGTTTTCACCACACTTCTTGTGGTTCAATTCATCATCAAGGCTTAAAATGCCGGTATACCCGTCCGCCTCGTATTGAACATGGCACCCTGAGAGTTGGATCCTAGCTGCCATGGAACTACCTTAAGATGAAATTTTTATAGTGATGTCAGCTATGAGATTAGCCTCATATACATAAAAAAAGATTTAAATTGCCTAACAATTATATCTATAAAAAGAATTAGATTATATCATACATAAATTCGTATGTAAAACAAAATTATATATGTATAATTGTATGTATACTTAAATTAAATTAATATATACTTGTATGTTTTTTTTTATTAAGGTAAGATAAAGAATCATTCCAATGAATATGTATGTATATAATTGCATATTAACATGTATGTATATAATTGCATATTAACTTGTATAGATTTTTTTTTTTTTTTTTTTTTTGGCGTTTAGAGAGCCACAAAGGCAGTTGATGAGAATCGATCCCAAGATCTCTTAAAATCGAGAGGGAAGCTCTAACCACTTGAGCTATCCCTCACTCTCTCAATTTGTATAATAGATACTTGCATGCTACTCTATGATACGGAGTAATTAATTATGTTTAGTAAATTCATAAAATAAAGTAAGATTATCGAAGTAAGTTGATAACCAAAAGTGATGTTAAAAAAACTAATGTGATAAACATAGATGAAATCTTACTCTAGTATTACCACATAAGCCGTTTGTGACATTTTGGAAGGATTTCATGCACTCGTTGCATTTGTGATCATCTAGATCTTGACGACATTGAAATCTGCCTGAAAGGGAAGCTTCATAGCGATCCTCAACCATGACAAAAGTTGTATGAAATTTAGATTGAGAAGACTGAGATTGTAGCTTCTCGAAAAGTGTTGTTCGTGCATTCAAATATTTCCCATGAGGATCGTGGAGCATTTGAGATGAACAACGGTGGAAAATTAAGGTTTTATGGTCTTCTAATAAGATCCCATTCACAAATGATACCAAAACTACAAAGAAAATCAATGAATAAAAAGTGAATGTTGTTAGAATTATAGACATGGGATTTCATTTGTTTTGTTATATAATAGGTTCTTAAGTACAAGATTTGGTATATATACTAGTCTAAGGAGATTTGGCGTGGTAGTTTAAGACTTAAATGAAAATTGGTACAAATTTAAGCATATTTCTTGCCTACCCTCAACTAATCTTGGATTACAATAATCTTAGGTACACATTTTATGAGCTACATACCTTTAAATTTAATATATATAGAATTGATTAAGCTAGAATAAGTGAATAACTGCCAATATCTAGTATTATATATCTTTTGAGTGGAGCATTAGTGACGCAAAGTTCATGTTAGTCAAAAGAACTAGAATAATTTCTAAGTTTGGATAAACTTCCATTTACTAAAATTTTAACTTATGCAAAGTAAGCTACTTTTGCATTTTTAATATACATGTCATATTGCTTACGTTTGTGTTATTTAAATACATGTAACATTTGACTTAAGGTAGCGTAGTTAGGTGATAGAGTTTTGGGTAATGTTTGAAATATGTGATAAAATTTCATTAACCTTGCTACATCTAATAGAGAAAAAATGTCAACAACGAAAAAATAATAATAATACTGCACAAAAAAAAAAAAAAAAAAAAAAAAAAAAAACAATAAAAAATTGCAAAGATCTATTGAAAATAGTATATGACGAAAATAATTTCTATAATTACCGATATGATAACATGTGTTAAAAAGGTCAGTAATTAACATTGTCATATGCTAATTATTTTACAAGTGCGAAATTATAAACATTACCATATGCTAATCCGTAATGTAAAAACGTTGAATTCCATATTTTTAACCAAAGTAATTAAGGTCCATAAGATATTAGGTACAAATTGTCCCATTTTAGAATTTGAATCCTATTATGGGATTAAAAAAAATTCCTTTCACTTTCATCCAGTCAAAAATTCTAATAATGAGAAAAATAAGGATGAAATTCAAAGAACAAAAGTCTTGCATCTCCTTGCCTATGATTTTTTTTGTTTTCTTTCATTTACCCAACTAAAAAATTCTTTTCATTTCTTATCTCGTCGTCCTTCAATCTTCAATCAAAAGATCGATAAAAGGCGACGAGAGGGAATTAAAGAAAAAGTAAAGAAAAAATATCAATAATCTATCAAAGAATTCAACTCCTTCACATTCATTTTAATCATTCAATTTGAATGGTAAAATTAAAATTCCAATAAAGAAACAATGACAGAATCTATCCAATTACTACAAATCAATATTATTTCAGCTCGAGACCTAGCAACGGTAGCAAGATCAATGAACACTTATGTTGTAGGGTGGGTTAACCCGAACCGAAAACTAACAACCCGAGTCGACCATAGGGGAAATAACTCCCCCGAATGGAATGATAGGTTCGTCTTTCGGGTCTCACCAGAGTTCCTTGTATCCAGCACTTCAACAGTTGAGTTAGAGATATACTGCCAAACTTGGCTACGTGACACTCTTGTCGGGTTTGTTCGAGTAGCCGTGCCTAACCTACTCCCCACAGATAGCCCTAACGGGCTAACTCGTCGATCAGTTGCTCTCCAAATTCGTCGTCCTTCGGGCCGACCTCAAGGTATCCTTAATGCCGTTGTCTCGGTCCTAGATGGGGCTAGACGAAGCATGCCATTGTCTGGAATCGGGACCACAAATGATAAGGGGAATAACACGATCTCACGCAAACCAAATCCAGAAGATAGTATTATCTTACGTCGGGCAAAGAGTGAGCGCTCCTGGGCGGCAATGGCCGACCAGGAGCCTCGTGCTGCTAAGTCCCCCTTCAAGGGCCATGACCCAGGCCCAGGACCGGGTCATGGGCCGGGCCCAGGCTCAAGTATAGGCGGGGGGTCATCCATCTGTAACTCTGATGTAGGACCATCAGCATCGGTGGTGGCAGCGGCGGTGGCAAGGGGGTTGTACATGCCGCCAGCGCAACGAGGTCGTGGTCGTGGACGTGGTCGTGGCAAAGAGATAATAACTAATAATGATGATGATGGGAGCTCTATTTTGCAATGGGCGGATGAGCAAAGTGAGGACGGGATAGTGACAAAGATTGAGAGGTGGAAAATGGAGATGCAAAAGTCGTTGCACGGCGGCGGCAGAGGAAGAAAAGGTGGTGGTGGCCAAGTAGGTGATGGTGCAAGGCACAAACATAAGCACCGACGATCAAAATCAGAAGGCGGGAGATTATTTAGGTGCTTTGGTAAGGCGTATGGTTTTGAACTTACAATTGTTTGTGGGTCCAATGGAAACGATAAACAAAATAACAAAAGTGGTCAGAAAAAGGTGCATCATAATAACACCACGTCGGACGATGAGAGTAACAGTCAATCCTACATTATCGTATGATTAATTTTAATCGGATAGATGGCCGTCAAGTGTGTTATTATAAAGGTAGAGTGTATATGATCTTTTTTTTAACTATCCTTTAATTTTCTCCCCCACCCCTAAAAATCCTTTTGTATAAATTTTTGATTTTTGTCCTTCACTTTTTCTTGTGTATATTCGTGATTTTTTTTTGGGTAAATACTGCCTTATTTCTCAGGTTAGTCAATTACTTATTTTGACGGCACATTATACTCACCGTCTTTTGTATATTTTCCTTCACTTTTTCATTATAATTACTTTGTGTAAATAATTTTTTTTTTTTTTCAGTTTAATCATTATTTATTTTGACATTATTGAGACATTTTATATCTACTATGGAGTGTTTTTGTAATTTTTACCTAATGAGAAATTGTAATCATGTGAAATTTCATTTATTCTCTTCAATTTATGATTTCAACAAACAAATTTTAAAAATTTTTATATGTAAATAATAATAATAAAAAAAAATGGTCAATGTTTTGTGTTTGCACATGTAGTAATAGCCAGAATGGAAAAGAAATGGTGAGAAAAAAGGAAATGAAAAGAAACAAACTGTAGAGAAACAAGTGATTTGTATATAACATCATTGGAAAATAATTTATAAGAAAAACATGCAGTTCAAGAAAAATTTGTTTTACTTTAATTTCCTCTATTTATTAGTATTATATTTTTATTTTGGTCGAGGTACACACAGGCCTTGGTTGAACACACCATCTTAGGTAAACAAGTTCAACTTGTCAACATTAGAAGGCCATAACCCCTAGCCAAGTTGAATCGTTGCTAAAACTAACATGAGTGAAAGGTGAGAGATGTTACCACTTTGTTGTTCGTTGATTTTTATTTTTTTTATTTTTTAATATATCTCCATGAGAAAGTTCGTATTAGTTTTTGTAACAAGATATTTTGTCATAATGGAATGTGTTAAGATTAATCATGATGCTTACGTGTGAAATAGGTTTTATATACATGAGTTTAGGTGTTGCATTAAGAAGTGATGGTTCATGGGCAACTCGTTTTCGCAACAAAGAAGATGAATGTGCGTTGGGTATGTAGTTGAGTTTGCTAAGGCCAATCTTGCTAGGCGCAACGTCATAATATCTTAGAGATCAAGTGTTGTGTAGGCTTTTGAGGCTAAGGATTATGCTCCTTTTTTCCTATACTTATTAGTGGAAATTTAAAATTTTAATCAAATTTGGCTTCTTTAATTTTTTGATGTTAGTATATCTAACAAAGGGGAAATATTGTAGCATATATGTATTGTAGCTAGGAAAGATAACTTGCCTTATTTATGTTGAGTTGATGTGTACAAACTCATCCCTCATAGCACTTTTGCCATGGCGGATTCTAAAATAAGTTAATATATTTCCGACAAGTATTTCCTCTCATAAAAATTCATTATTTTTTTTAATAGATATATATATTAGTGATATTTCATTTATAATTTATGAAATTGTCCTCCTTACATAGTACTACGTATTGCCAAGTTGAAGAATTAGATTGAACTACTATACCCCGTTCGTTGTACTAAATCAATTTTTACTATATGCAAGCTTGCAAAGTATATATAAATAGAAGTGTTATATTAAGAGAACTTTTCAATAGTAAAAAAAAAGTGTCACATATACATCACATTGCAAAATACTAGTTATTAAGTGTACGGGATAGTGCCGACACCATTAAGACTTGTTCATTAAATATGTTACGATGTTAGCTCTCCATTATCACGCATATCGGCTTACTCTCCATAATTGCCTTAATCACGGCCACGTGGAGAACTGCTTCCGACCATGTAGGCACCTTGATCCGGATATTGAGAACTTCGAGAGTTTGTTAAATCTTTACAAGGAAAACCTAAACTTGAACATTAACTCATTAGAAGCTACAAATTGGCGGTTCTTGGACGGTTCAAGCAAAGGAACTTGGTGTCTAGTACAAGCTCAAGTTCCAGATCACTCTACTTATTACTCTACTTAGTGGTTTTTAATTAGTTTTTGCTTGCAAGTTTTTACCTTTCACTTGAAAGGGTTTTTCTTGGTTTAAGCACTTAGGATTAATTTTATTTATTTTAGGAATTATAGACTAAGTAGAATTAGTTTCCTAATCTAATTAGAATTGGAATTGGTTTCCTAATCTAAGTAGAATTAGAATTGGTTTCCTAATCTAAGTAGAATTAGTATTCCTATTCTATTTGGGTTACTTGGGGCTAAAGGCTAGGGACTTGTCCTAGTCCAATTAGACTTAGAATTAGTTAGTTTTTAGTCTATAAATAGTTGTACTTTCATGACTTTTAAATATAGAACTTTTCAGATTAATAAATCAAAGTATTTGTTTGTTTTGCAATCAAAACATTTGTTTCTTGAAGCTGGTGATTAGGTTCTTTAAGCTTTGTTTAAATTGATTAATTAAGGGGTGGTGTGACCTTTTACTTAATTAATCTACTTGTCTTCTTGTTTGATTCTTGGTGGACGAATCCTATAGAGAATTAGGCTTGAATTATCCTTGTGTGTGTTTAAGTTCCTTGAACATACGCATCACACCTGTTGCCTACGAAGTCAACTTGCCACCTATGGCGATAGGTGGCACCAACTTGATTGTTTTCTTATAAATACCCAAGCATAATTCATTATTAAGGTACGATCTTTATTTCTCTCTCGCTCTCTCTCTCTCTCTCTCTCTCTCTCTCTCTCTCTCTCTCTCTCTTATTCTTCTCATCAAATTGCTAATTTTAGCATCGAAGCGGTTGTCCCCGGATAATCCCCCGGGTTAGCTAATTTGTATTGACAATAAAGGTACTAAATTGGCCGATAAACCTTTATGGATCCCAAGACTCAAGTTACCAGAGCACACTCGTAACAATTGGCGCTAGAAGGAGGGGATAGTAATAACTTCTATCGTCCAAAGAACCTTAAGAAATCATGGACGGGAACAATGAAACCATAGCACCAATCCCAGAAACTAATAACCGTAATTATGATATCGGTATTCTTAATGCCGGTGCAGGTAAAACTATTAATAGTATACCTAAGATCATGGTGGAAGACGAAACCCACCTTATTCCCAATAATACGACAAATATGCCAATAACACTAGAACAACCTCACGCCACAACCCCGAATCCTATGGACGAGTTCACTCCCGAGGAGTTGGAGCTGACGGCAAGGGTTATGCGAGCTATGTCCAGAAAAAGAAAGGAAGTTGATGAAGCAGCTGCTAGCCGAGCAAGAGGAAACAAGGCGCAATATATGCCTGTATTTGTTAATTTGGAGAGTCAGTTTAATCAAGCTGCATCCCCACCTCGGTGGCAGCCGCAAGAAGGGTCACCCCCGTTAAGGCCAGAACCATTAAAAAGAGAGCGTCAAGCTCCTCCTGGTGTGCGGATTAAAGATTCGTGGTCTCAGAGGCAAGAAGCTAGCAGTGGGCCAACCAGTCGCGTGACTAAAGCTATGGCCAGGCCGAGAGTCTCTCTGTTCACTCAGGAGATCCTGAATCAGCAAATGGAAAAAATCAAAATGTCGTCATGCAAATATGACGGCATGGGTGATCCCAAGAGGTACATGGCTGCGTTTGAAAGTCATATGATGTTGTATACCGACACGGATATCGTGTGGTGCAAGGTTTTTCCAACAACATTAACGGGAGCAGCCTCAGATTGGTTCTTGAATCTAGAGCCCGGTTCAGTTGACTGTTTCGAGACTTTGGTAGAAATGTTCACTGGCCAATATGTAAGCAACAATGCAAGGCAAAGAACATCAGGAGAGTTGATGGCGGTTGGCTAGAAAAGGATGAATCTCTAAGGGATTTCATCAGGCGATTCAATAACGAAGGAAATACAATTCCTAAGTTGCAACAAGAAATAGCTGTGATGGCCCTCATGAATGGACTAAATAATTGTGATTTCAAAAAGTACATGAGCCGAAAAACCTTCTCGAACTTAGGTACAACATTTAAGAAAGCACATGAGTACATTAAGAGTGATGAGCTCTTAAAGACTAGTAGTAGAGCGGTGCCGGCAGAGCCAAGTCGGCGACCGGTTGACAATGCGTCACATGAAGTGAGTAGGCCAACCCAACAAAATCAACAAAGGGCAAGCAGGCCCGGAAAAGGCCTGGGCCGGTACAACAGTTACACGCAGATGAACACGCCAAGGGCAGCGATCTATTCCATAAACCAGCAAAGGGAGGATTGGACCAGGCTGGCACCAATGAAAGCTAAGGGCCGAGACATGAACAAGTACTGCATGTTCCACAGGGATAACGACCACTATACAGAAGATTGCATTCAGTTGAAGGAGAATATTGAGGATCTAATTAGAAAAGGGCACCTTCTTAGTACCGAGCTCAACAGTATACTAGTCGGTAACGTCAACCTCCGGCAAGACAGATCGAATACCAGCAACCGGTTCACAGACGTACGCCTGAGGCAAGTCGGCAGAGTGACATGTCAAGGCAAGGACAAGTGCCGTCAGGGCGTAATATAGTGGTGGATGTTATTACCGGCGGGCCGGTGCACGGGGGATCCATCAGTGGCGCCAAGAAAAGCTTGTCGGAGCACAGGCACGTGGTGAATGCCTTGGGTTTAAAAGATCGTCCTCGCCCCTCCAGTATTCCCTCTGTGTCCTTCTCGGAGGCTGATATCAAGGGCATCGTTTTTCCTCATGATGACCCGTCAGTGCTCATACTGGCTGTAAACGGTAGTCTAATCAAGCGAGTTTTGGTTGACGGGGGAAGTTCTGCAAATATACTTTTCACAAAAGCCTTTGACACCATGATTATTGGGAGGAAATACTTAACACAAGTGCCATACCCGAGCATTGGCTTCAATGGCTCTACCGTCATGCCTGAAGGCAGCATTGTGCTGCAGGTTTGTATCGGCGAGGGAGCTACAACAAGAGATGTAATGACGGAGTTTCTAGTGGTGGATGTGCCGTCAGCATACAACGCTATCGTCGGTAGATCAATGATCCATGACATACAGGCTGTCGTATCCACATACCACTTAACAATGATATATGTATCGAATTCCGGTTTCCCTGAACGTCTTGAGGGAAGCCAGACAATGGCTAGGGAATGTTATGTGACTGCGCTGAAATGGCCATGCCGACAACCACTATGGTGTGGGTCAAAAAAGGGAAAGGGCCCTATCCATACACGACATGTCTATAGAGAATTTTGATACACGGCCAGTATCGGTACCTCGCCCTTTGCCGGGAGGTGAAACCGTGGAAGTTGAATTACAGCCAGGAGTTCCAGACCGAGTAGTAAGGGTTGGATCCGACATGGATGTTGATTTGTGATGTCATTTAGTTGACCTCCTGCGGGAGAATGCAGATGTCTTTGCTTTCTCGGCTGACGAAATCCAGGGATACATCCAGACGTAATGGTACACAAAATGAATGTGGATAGAAAAGCACGACCGGTAAGGCAGATTAAAAGAAATTTCTCAACCGAGAAAATTGAAGCTATACGGGGTGAAGTAAATAAGCTGCTAGCGGCAGGATTTATAGAACCTTGTACATACCCTGAGTGGTTAGCAAATGTGGTGATGGTGAAGAAATCGTCAGGAAAGTGGAGGATGTGTGTCGATTTTACCTATTTAAACAAGGCTTGTCTAAAGGACTGTTACCCATTGCCTGGGATAGACAGGCTAGTGGATTCTACTTCAGGCCATGCTTTGTTGAGCTTCATGGATGCTTTCTTTGCATACCATCAATTCAGCTTATACGAGCCTGACAGGACCAAGGCTGTGTTCATAACGGATGTCGGATTTTCTTGTTACAAAGCAATGTCGTTTGGGCTGCGAAATGCGGGCGCAACATATCAAAAGTTGGTGGACAAAATGTTTGCGAATCAGAAGGGTAGAAACGTGGAAGTATATGTGGATGACTCAATCGTGAAAAGCCAACTAGCTACGGATCACGTTGCGAACTTACGAGAAACATTTGATACTCTCCGACCATACCGAATAAAGCTAAATCCGGAAAAATGCATTTTTGGGGTTAAGTCAAGAAAGTTTCTAGGATTTATGGTTAGTGAAAAGGGAATTGATGCAAATCCCGACAAGATTGATGCCATTCTCAGTTTGCCATAGCCAAAGTTGATAAAGGATATACAAAAGCTCACAAGCCGCATGGGGACATTGACAAGATTCATTAGCAAATCTACCGACAAGGCATTACCATTCTTCATGGTATTGCGTCAAAACAAAACGTTTGTCTGGGGAAAAGAACAAGTTAAAGCACTCGAGGTTGTAAAAAATCATCTCCGATCACTACCGACAATAGCTAGGCCAGAAAAAGGAGAGAGGCTACAGTTGTACATCTCAGCATCTCCAAAAACGGTAGCGGCGGTGTTGCATGTAGAGCGAAAGAAAGTACAAATGCCTATCTACTTCGTGAGTCATGTTTTGAATCCTGCGGGACAACGATACCCGTTAATAGAGAAGATTGCATACGTAGTAGTGATAGCGGCACAAAAGTTGAGGTCGTATTTTGATGCGCATACAATTGAAATTCTCATGAATCGATCAGCCGTTAGAAAAGTCCCTTCAAAAAATGGAAACCTCTGGTCATTTGCTTAAATGGGCCATAGAGTTGTCGGAATATGACCTAGTTTACAAACTGCGAGTGTCTATAAAGGCACAAGCCCTATCTAGCTTCATTGTTGAAACATCTTATACAGATGAAGAGGAAGATATCGGTACATGGAAGGTCTCAGTGGACGGTTCAGCAGCTTCAACCGGTTCAAGGGCCTGTATCATAATGACATCCCCACAAGGAGATGTATTTTAGTACGCTATAAAGTTCAAATTCAAATATTCTAATAACGAAGTCGAATATGAAGCTGCAATCACTGGAGTCCAGCTGTGCATAGCGGCAGAGGCAAAACGGATTGAATTATTAACAGACTCACAATTGGTTGCAAGCCAGTTCCGCGGTGAATATGAAGCTCGGGAGCAAAAAATGATAGCTTACTTAGCCAAATTGAAGGAAATAACGGCAAAATTAGAGCACTTTGAAATCAACCTGGTTCCACGTGCCCAGAATGCACAGGCAGATGCCTTAGCCAAATTGGCGAGTTCAAGTTTCAATGATCTGAAGCGAACGGTGATGGTAGAAATCCTAGATCATAAAAGCATTGATACAACTCGTGTGGAGGTTAAATGCGATGATGGGGGCTGAAAGTGGCATGATGATATCTTGGCTTACAAGTTATATGATGCTCTCCCTGCTGATAAGCTTGAAGCCCAAAAAGTGAAAAAGGATAGCATTTGGTTCGTTATGTTTCGCGTAGGATTATACAAAAGAGGCTTCTCATTACCCTTGTAGTGGTGCATAACGGCCTTTGAATCTGCAAGATTGATAGAGGAAATTCATGAAGGAGAATGCGGAAATCATGCGAGTGGTCAGTCTATGTCTTTAGAAGCTATGAACAGAGGTTATTATTGGCTGACAATGAATGCAAACACGCTAGCATATGCTAAAAAATGCGATAAGTGCCAGAAGTTTGGGCCGGCAATAAACCAGCCGCCAAACGACTTGACACCCATCTTAAACCCAGTGCCCTTTGCGCAATGGGGAATGGATATTGTCGGACCATACACATCGGCTAATGGGGGTAGAAAGTTCCTAATTGTTGGAGTAGATTACTTCACCAAATGGATAGAGGCTGAACCGGTAGCGAAAATAACGGCAAATAAGGAAAAAGTTTGGTTTGCCAGTGGCAATGGTGTTTGATCACGGCTCCCAATTCGATTGCAGCCCTGTCAAAAATTTCTTGAGCATATACAAGGTAAAGTTTGCCTACGCGGCAATCTGCCATCCATAGTCAAACGACTAGACTGAGGCCACAAATAAGCAAATACTCGGTGCACTCAAAAAGAAAATCGAGGACGCAAAGGGGCTATGGGCAGATTTGGTGCAAGAAATACTGTGGGCTAGAACGACAACAAAGAAACAACTGGAAAGTCACCTTTTAACCTCGCTTTCAGTTCAGAGGCGATTGTACCAGCTGAGGTCGGCCTTCCAACATTTCGTATTCAGCATTATTGTGAGGAGCAAAACGACCTTTTGTTGCGACAACAGTTAGATTTTTTGTCGGAAGTAAGGTTGAAACTGCCATCAAATCTGCAGCTTATAAGAATAGAATGAGTCATGCTTACAATAAACGTGTTAATTATCAACCTCTTGAAGATGGCAATCTGGTTTTAAGAAGAACGGAGGCTACCGGTAAAGGAAATGCAGATGGTAAGCTTACCGCAAATGGGGAAGGTCTGTACCAGATTTATGAAATGCTAAGGCAAGGGTCATATCGGTTGATAACCCTGGAGGGTGTACCCCTTAAGAACGTTTGGAATGCAAGCGTCCTTAAGAAGTATTATGTTTAACATCTGTTGTTCTATTAGTTCATAACTATGTATTATCGGTATGACTAAGGGTCATCGTATTTTGTAAATTTTTTGTATTTAGCTGAAGTCGTTAATAAAAATAAAGCTAACGGCCTGATTCAAAAGTGTGACCCCCCCTGCTTTTGGTATGGATGTGCGAACAGCCTAGCTAGCTTTCTCACCCAATTAAGTGAGGAGGGAGGTTAGATAACGAAAACACCTAATAAGCGAGTTGAAATGATGGTCTAATCCACTGTCTTTGCTCGTCCTAAAAAGATTACAAGCATTCTACCGGTGAAATCGTGCTATAACTTGGACCCATAATCTGGTCAGGTTATAGTGGCCGATAGCCGTTTTGCAAAAGGTGTTCGAGTAAGTTTTAATTAAAACTACTCGGAGGACCGAAGCGCACATTCGACTTGATATTGATAAACACTTAGTATAATAAAACTGCAGAGAACTTGGCTTAAAGTACGTTGTAACCGATGGATATCGATAAAAAGTTCTTGTGAAAAATATTTTTGTAAAGATATAAATCTGCAAAAAAACAGTAGCCGATATCTAAAAAATGTTTAAGCGCTCCACTTTCTTAAACAAATTAAAAGATAAGACGGGCTAAAAGTACGCTATGTAATTAATATGCAGATAACAAAGACAAATAATTCATAGCAATAAAGGCTTCATGTATATGTAGCAGTTAAAACTTAAAAAGTTGTCAAAGCATATTTAGAAACATAAAAAAAAAAAAAAAAAAAAAAAAAAAAAAACGACAGCCATCACCCAAAAACACGAGGATCAGACCGACTAAATTCAGACAACAATTTTTTTTATACTAACGAAAACATAGTCTTAAAACAAAAAAAACCAAACTTCATTAAGCTTAGCGACGGTTACATGAAAACGAAGATCCACATGACGAGTTTGGTGATGACTGCCCGCCCCATTAATCTTTTTTCTTCTCGGACTCTTTCTCTGGTCCTTTCTCGCTTGGGGGGGTTGGCAAGGAGGGCGTCACCAAATTCTTCATCGGGATACTCTTGTGGATCAACATTGGTCATTGTTTCAATGCTGGGGGGATCAGCGAAATATGCCTCTTCATAGCTGGTAGGAGAATGATGCTTATCCTTGCCGTAAGCATCTTCAACTGACTGCCATCTTGTCTCTTCCCAACTCGGCTTTGCATACACAACGATGCGCCGCCACCCATCCACCGGTATAGCGATCCACCAGCTTATCTTGGTATAGGTCAGACCTCAGAAAACAGTTGACGGCTCGGCGCCTGATACCGAGCCTCTCACGCTGAGCTTCATCTAAGCTTTTCACCAGTTTCTCTTTATCCGCTTTCTCAACTTTTAGGCTTTTTTCCAGATCGGCAATCTTTGTTATCAGCTTGTTTTGATACAAAAGTTTTTTCTTCAACTCTTCATGATCAACAACTTGCTTTTCCAAAAGCTTCATCTGGATCTTGTTTTCCTCGAGCTCGAGAACAGCAGCCTTGCCCTCGTCATCAATCTTCTTCACCTTTACGGCAGCTTGGTCTGCATATCTATGGTAGTATTTGTACATATGTACAACCTCCACAGCCGAGTTGACAGTCTACGCAGGAAAACAATTTTATTAGCTTATAAATTAAAATACAAGAAAGAAAAAGGGGAGAAACAATATCAATATCTGAATGATGAGTTGTAAAGTATTACCCTCAGCATATCATTCATTAGCTGGTCGCAAGGAGCGGATAGCCGATCAATAGGCCTGTCGGACGGTGTGGCCAAGTCCTTCAGCATCCTCCAACCCATGCTCTCACCAGTTACCGGGTCGTCGACGATGACGGGCTCTCCCCGGTTCACATTAATGTGAGGCTGCCATGGTTCACCTGTGATGAGTCTATTTTATATATATTTTTATTCCCTATCCCACGGTCATATTTGTGATTGTTTGAGCTCTGCGGAGCTATTTTTATTACTAATATACGTTTTCTAGTGTTTTTGTATAGTTGGTATTATTTTGTAGGAATTTGCAGATTTATGACGATTCCCGAGCTTATTGAGCCACTACAAAGATATTAGAGTCGGATCGTATTTTATGATCGTATATTTATTTGCACAAGATCGATTAAAGGAAATTAGTTCGGTGATTAAGGGCTCGATATAGTAAAAGAGGTCCAAAGTTCCCACACGAAAAACGGACTATACAAGTGAAGAAACTTGGGCTAATGAACTCTAAAAGACCAAGTCCAAGAACAAAAGGGAATGAAACATTGAAGCCTAACTCTAGCTAACCGGGCCCGATCGGGCCAGGCCTGGCCCGTTCGGGCGGATATCAGCGCTTACTTCAGCTACATGGGCTTTGTTGTTTTGGGCTTATTATTTTACATCTGAATTCTTGGACGATTGACGGCTTATGATTAATTGGTTTCCTTGTGTTTAGTGGGAGTTGGAGGCTTGGACTTTTCTTATATAAGGGAGGTAGTAGTAGTTTTACGGGAGTTAGGCTCCGTTTGGTAGGGCGTAAAACATTTTTACTGAAAAGTGTTTTCCCTTTTTATATTGTTTGGTTTGGTGTAAAACATTAAAATGTAAAACTTGGGGTGGAAAATCATTTTCCACCCTATTGAAAACATTTTCCCCCCAATTTAGAAGGAAAACATTTTCCATCACAAGTGGAGGGAAAACATTTTCCTTCACAATTGAATTTTTAGTTCAACCAAATAATGGAAAATGCTTAAAATGAAAAATCATTTTCCATTCAACCAAACAACGGAAAACTTTTTTGAAAATGAGTTTTCCATTGTAAAATGATTTTCATGGAAAACCATTTTACATTGAAAATGTTTTACACCCTACCAAACGGACCCTTAGTTTTGATTAGATTAGTTTAGTTTAGTAGCTTAGATTTTTATCATATTCTTTAGTTTAGTTGTTATGCTTTTGTCAGACACTTTGCTTTTATTTTTGTTTAGTTCATTCGGAATTTTTAGTTATTCGTTATTATTATTACTTTAGTTTTATTTATTGTTTTTATTATGTTTTGTTTAATTGCTTTGTCTACTTTAGATTAAATTATGTGTGAGTAGTTTAGTTCTAGGGTTCTTAGGGATCCACAATTAATATGAAGGGATAATTTGTTTTGGTTGATTATTGATGTTGCATGATAATTTCTTATTGAATTGTTTTAATTCTTTACAATTGGATTATGAATCGAGCATATATGATTTGATTGTAAAAGTGTAGCAATATTGAATTGATGAACCGAGCAGATGTTAGATATTAAAGGCTATTGACAATAGGAACTTAGATCTAGTAAATTGCGATAGCCTGTTAGATCTGTGTTGATTAATAAATTGCGAGAGCCTGTTAATCATGTTATGTACGCAATATTAATTGTTGATTGTTATGTTTTATCCCAGAGTATTAATTATTGGTGAACATGTGACCCTGGGCTTTTTATTATTGATTTTCCCTTAGATTAATTCATACAAACCTTATTCGTTTCTTGATAATTTGGATTATAATAATTAATTAGGAATAGAAGAACGTTGTTTCCCTGTGGATTCGACCCTACTTCCCTATCTATTTTAGTTAGTGGTTTTAGGAATTACTTTTGATTTGGTAATACGACTTTATCCTGTCAAAATTTGACTTGGGGGAGCTATTAGTTAGTGAGGTGAGGGAGTTGTAGTGTGCACATAATTTGCACAATTTGGGTGGATATGAGGAGTAATCTATTCTTTTGATATTGTGATTGAAAAAAAGGAGAAATTGTTGTTCAAAGTTGAAAAATTCCAATGTGAGATAAAAAGAAAAAAAAAGAGCAAAAGGAAAAATTGTTTTAATGTTCAAGTGTTCTAAATGAAGGTTGCTCAAAAGAAAGAAATTCAAAAGAAAAAAATTCAAGTTCGAAGAAGAAAAAAAATTTCAAAGTTTGTTTGATTCATTCAAGTTCTATATTATCATATTTTTATGAGTGAAATTGTAAGTGTTAGAAATCTTGTGAAATATTGGATTGGTTGTTTGGTGAATTCTTGTAGTGTTGAGTTATGTTGGAGAAGATTGACCATTGCTTATGTCTGGCCTTGGGTTTTTATTAGGATTTGGCTCCCTTAAGTATGGCTTTACTCACATTTTCCCAAATATTTCCTACCTCTTTACCTATGCCTTACATTACAAGCTTTAAAAACCTTCCGACCTTTGAGTATAGAGTTGTGTGAATGTGAAAGTAGTTGTTTACTAATGCGAAGAATGATTTGATATATTCTGAGTCGACTACTAGGTTGGGTGTATGTCTTTTAAACACACGAGTGCGTGAGTTGGGAGGGCATTGTTCACATTAAAGGGGTTGGGATGGAGAGCGATCGAGTACACCTTTTACTCGCCACATAAATGAGAGTTGAGTGTGTGAGAACTAGTCATGAATTCTATATATATGCTCTTGTAGTTTGCTCTATTTGACAATTGTTAGGGAAGGTTGGTAATTGGATGGATTTGAGTGATTGATTATAATGCATGTTTGATGGATTGGCTTTGAGTAGGGTCATGGTTTTGAAATTGATTTGGGGCGAAGTTATGATTTATTTATTCATTATGTCATTGCAACGACGCGAAATTTTGACAGGATAAAGTTGTATCACCAAATCAAAAGTAATTCCTAAAACCACTAACTAAAATAGATAGGGAAGTAGGGTCGAATGCACAGGGAAACAACGTTCTTCTATTCCTAATTAATTATTATAATCTAAATTATCAAGAAACAAATAAGGTTTGTATGAATTAATCTAAGGGGAAATCAATAATAAAAATCCTAGGGTCACAGGTTCACCAATAATTAATACTTCGAGATAAAACATAACAACCTGCGGTGCCGGCAGGAACTAGGAACTCTTCCCTCACCTCGTTAGGGATCTTAACGTGAGGGATCTCTATAAAATCACCTGTCAACACTGGGATGAAAGAGTTCTGACTGCTAGAGCCAGATCGAACGGTTACAGACGGTTACATGTCTTTGTTGGTTGAGGTTGCCTTATCAGCAGGAACTGACGGTATGTTATGAACAACAATGTTACTGTCTTCTTCTGTTTCCCGCCGTCATCATCCTCTAAATTCACAACCTTTAAGTTGTCTACTGGAACATCCTTAAGTTGAACTGATTGCTGGTCCTTGGGCGGGCCAATTTTCTGCTTCTTAAACATATCTTGGTCAGTCACATCACTGAGCCTCTTGGATCCAATGCTTGCACCACCACCCCTTTTGAGGGGAAGAGTCTTAGGCCTTGTCCTTCTTTGCTCAACTGACGACATGTCGCGCTTGATTCTCTTTTTTACTTTTGAAGCTTTAGTGGCAGAGACTGGTAGCGTGTCGTAGGCCGACTTGGGATTGGGCGGACATTGCTGTTTTACCCTACCATCAGGATATAACCTCAGTCGGGAAAATTCTAACTTCTTGATTCCTGCAACCACATTAACCTTGTCAGCACAACAACAAAAAAAAGGGAGAAAAAAGAATAATATGGACGAGGTCAAACAGAATTTTGTGAATGAAATAACGACAACACAATAGGTAGTTATGAAAGTTAAACAAATATGTGATAGATGGGCATTGCCCAGAATGCAATTACAGTTAGGCAGCCACACCCCCGGAACAACTTTGTTTTTCTTACCGGCGTTAATATATACACAGTCAAAAACTTAAAAGCTTTTTCTTCAAGTTTTCCTAACTTCCTAGCTTTAATGGTATCTAACATGCTATGAGGAGGGTAGAAAGTTCTACGCAGTTTATAATCATCTGGCACACTCAGAAAATAAAACTGATTCTGCCATTTTTTCCTGCTGGTTAACTTCGGCCATATTGTGCATTTACCGGGAGCCGTGTATAACGACCATCATCCCGGTGATTGTCTATCTTTTTTGGTCCAATGTAACCGCCGGAACAGATTTAGGGTTAGTGGGAAAACCATGAATATCATGACCCAGACAAGAGAAACCACATTCCGAATTGACGGCGGTGTCAACTGTGCAACACAAACATTCCAGGCTTTGAAAATCTTTTCAATAAAATGATGTAAGGAGAATCTTAAACCAAACTCGAAGTGCTTAGCATACACTAGATATGACCGGCGCGACAGTCCAGTGCAGTTTTCCCCTCTTCAGGCAATCTAAGGTCATAACTGCCAAGGAGGTTATAGAAACGCTTACCATGTCGGCGGTAATCTTTCTCGGTAGCAACCCTGAGCCATTCTGGGTCGAGTACTGTATCTACCACTTTAAGATCACATGGTAAACGCATAGGTTCTCGGTATTTACGGTCATCCAATTCCGATTCGTAACCCTCATCAAGCTTCTCCTCTTTCAATATCTGCTCGGCAACAACAACATCTTCTCTAATATCCTCATTGGTCTCTTCTTTATCCTCTTTTTCATCACCACCTTCACCCTCTTTATCTCCTTCCTTACTACCTTCACCCTCTTCATCTTCTTCCTCACCACCCTCTTTATCTTCTTCCTAGTCACCCTCTTCATCACCTTCTTCTTCACCTTCCTCATCACCTTCTCGAACATTACCGACACTCTGCTCCTCATCCTCTTTCGAACCCTCAACACTCCTTTCGACAGATAAAACATCCTCATCCCTAACATCTTATATCGATGGTTATGGCTCTGTCATTGGTTCTTTGTCAGGACGCCGACTAAAATTTTTTACATCTTGAGGCTGATAACTGGTACGCTTTGTTCTCGGCATTCTTGTACTTTTAACACCTACTTTGCCGAGATTTGTACCGTACTGATCAAGAAATTCATAAACACTTCGTAAATGATGACGGACACTTTGAGGCTCAATACCAATAATCTTTACGTCTTCCAAAATATCGGGATTATCAGGACGTAAAGCCTTCTCAGCGTCAGCAAGACATTAATGTCGATAGTAGGCCTCCTACTCTTGCGCTGAGGAC